CCACCCCCTCCACCTTATGTCCCTTTGAGGGTCCCACAGTTAGGCTGCAGTGAGAGTACAACTGAGTGTCCCCAAAGCTGCTTCATCTTCAAACCTGCTTAAAGGCTAAAGTCACAAAATCCGTCTGGAAAGGCTTACGATGTCCAAAGATGGGCACACAAAGCCCATGTCTGCTTTAAGATATCTTTACTCAAATACCCTCTGAACCATTAGCTGCTAAGTCCTATAATTTCCTTTTCCTGAGAGCTGCATTCCTGGGGATCGCCACTGTAAGGAATTAGAAGTCTCGCCCTGAAATAAGGTCTGTGCAGGTTCCCACGGTGATAAAGTGGCACTAAGGCGATTTTCTGAATTTCTACCTGAGGTGTTTCTTCATTTCACTCTGATTTCTAAGTCCTCCCTCCACCCCCACTACCTTTTTATTCTTTGACTTTGCTGAGTTAGAAATCCTGCATGAGAGGATTGATTTAGGTCTAAGTTGATCCTCAGCACAAAAATCAGTTTAGGGGCAGAACAACAGGATTTATGATCAGACTCTCCTCAGATGTATCTTTGGACATCGTAAGCCTTGTGTTCTAACGGTATTGGGTTATTTTATATTTACATAATCTGTGTATCCAAAGGGCAGACACTTCTTATCAAGACTTAAGCCCATCAGTAAATACTAAATGCTATATAAACCTAGATTCCAGTTAGACTTCATTTAAAATATGTCTGTTTTTAATTTGCAGTTCTATTTTCCCTGTCTCCCAACCCATAGAGCCTAAGTTTTATTGTTTAAAATAGTTTGATAGGGATTTTTTTTTAACCAACTACTGTAATAAATTTTAAATGTAGTTTATATGGGATCAATAGATAAACTGTTAGCACAATGGGTTAAAGCCCAGCACCATGAAGCTATCACAGCCACTGCAGCACAAGTTCAATTCCCAGCCAGGGAGCTGACCCACATGGCGTAGCAGACCTCTCCTGACCCACCCGCTGCTCCTCAGCAGTGTATTTCAGTCAATCTGCCTGTTCTGCTCCCCACTCTGTCTCTGGTGAAACCTCTCACCCCCCCACCCCGCCCCACACCTCTGGCCTGTACCCCAGTTCTGTGCATAAAGAAATAAATCTTGGCCCTCCCTGGTGGCGCAGCGGGTTAAAGCACAGCACTAAGAAGCTAAAGCCACTTCCGCATGGGTTCGATTCCCGCCTGCCCCGGAGGTGACCACATGGCGCGGCAGACCTCTCCTGACCTGCCCGCTGCTGCCCTCAGCAGTGTACTTCGTCGATCTGCCTGTTCTGCTCCCCACTCTGTCTCTGGTGAAGCCTCTCGCCACCCCTGAGCCTCTGGCCTGTACCCAAGTTCCATATGCACAAATAAATAAATCTTTTAAAAAAAAAAAAAAAGAAAGAAAGAAAGAAATCTTTAACAAAACAAAACAAAAAAAAAGATAAACTGAACATAGTAGATCACTTCCAATGGAGACAAATTTCAGCTCTGTGGAGCCCAGGATGCCTGCTAGTGACAGGCAGCTACAGAATGCTGTCTGAGGGGTGGCTGTGCTTTGGCTTTCTGTGTGACCAGGCTGCATGTCATCAGTCACTGGTCCCATCACAAGGTCACCTCGTGTCTAAAACTGTTCCTTCATGGAGGCTTTTACTAGCCAGAGAAAGAAGAGGAATGTGGGTGGAATGCCTGCCTCTTGCCAGCTCAGAGGTAGCTTCCTTCAGAACACTGCCCCCATTTTACAGATGAGGAAACAGGTTTGTAGAGGTTAAGCCATGTGCCTGGATAAAGAAGTGGGGTTCAGATCTTTGGTCCGATGATGCCAAACTCCCCTGAGCTGACCACCTCGGACCTCTCTTCTTGCCACACCCACGGCAGAAAGGGAACAGAGCTAAGCCAGCTGAGGGAAAGACTCATTTCCTGCCTAGGGGAGTGAGCAGGGCTTCCAGTAACTACAGGAGTTAACAACAGGTGGCAGTACATACACATATCTTGATTCAATCCGATTTTCTTTTTCTAAGGCCTGTGTGGTTTTTTTTTCAACCATAGTACATTTTGCAGGAGTCATCGGAGATGTTTGTATCAAACTTTCCTATCCACTGGGAAAAAAATAAAAAAACAAGTGACAGGTCTCAGGCCAGTTGCTTTCCTTTGTCCCTTTGTGCTGATGCCGGAGAAGATTCAGCAGCTAAGACCCTAAACCCAGCCACAGCCCGGCTGCCCCAGAGCTCCTGAACTCCCAAGAAACCAGAGTCTCCCTTTGCAGGCAAGACAGGCAGCCTTCTCCTCCTGTCGAGGGTGAGGCTGTGGGGTTTTCTTTTTATTGTGACAAATGAACTCCCTGGTTGACTTTTGAGCAACTACCTTAAATAAACTTTTTGTTCAGATGACCTTATTCTTTGGGGGGATGGGGAGATACCAGCAGAGGAAGAATCTTTCTCTGGAGAGTATATGACCTGGGTGCTGGCTCAACAAGCTGTTTTGGGTTGTTGCCATGGAAGAGACACAGGGCTTCTTAGTGAGAGAAATGTAAACCTAGTGACTCAATACACTCCGTGTGTGTGTGTGTGTGTGTGTGTGTGTACACGTGTACACACAATGTGTGTGGTATTGTGCTAAATGTTACAATGTGACCTTCAGTTACTTCTCACAGAGCATGAAATTGGTGTGGAAAAAAATTGATGCAACATTAGTAAAAGGGAACATTTTGTTATGTAAGTTGTACATAAATCGTTATGATTATTAACCTCTAGCCAGAGTTGTCATCTGTACCTGCCTTTCTTCTCCATGTGAGGAACACATGTTATAAAACAACTTTCTATTGAAGACCAGGCAGTTGGGTTACCTGTCGCCAGGTGACAAGGAACTGAGGAGAGTGATGTCCTGTTTGCTTTCTCACAGCCTGCAGAGTGGGATGAACCTGCAGATCTGCTTTGTCAATGACAGTGGCAGTGACAAGGACAGTGATGCTGATGACAGTAAGACCGAAACCAGCTTGGACACCCCACTGTCTCCCATGGTGAGTCCACACTGTGGCATGCACTTCCCTGCTCTTCTAGCTCCTTTGTTGTTGTTTGTAAAGCACAAACAGAGGAAAGTTGTCCTTGCCATTTCTTGACACGTTTTGGCAGTGATTGGGAAAGTCAGGGTTGAGCTAATTAGGGTAACACATTCTGTCAAAGTTAGTGGCTACTTTTATACTAAGCCAGGAACTAAGTCAGATTTGCCCTGAGCAGTTCGAAATCCGTGATGGCGGCTACATCTCTGATTCCTCTGGGGCTTAGAAATATGAGCAGACTCACAGGGGGGGGCACATTGTAAAAGTGGGGTAGTAGGCTGGCACCCACCATTGCTCAGAGAAACAGCCAGATGTGAGGTGCTCCCTTCTGTGCTTCGCTTACAGAGAAGAGGCGGCATATACTCCAGGGTGCTTGTAGCTAGGTTCCCTTCTTTTCTGTGAGGTCTGTCTACTACCTCTCATTAGACGGGACATTGTTCATGGACTTTGAGTGCCCTGTAAGGTCAGAACTTGGGTGGATTCCTGAGACTTATTGACTTAGGAAGAAAAATACTGCCTTAGCTCTGGATTAGACATTTCCCTGTGTCTGGTCATTTCCAGAAAGTTTTGAAACCCAGAACTAAAGAAGTCTCTCAAGTTTGTCATAAATGCTTTCTACCTATTATTAATTGTTACTGTTTATACTGAAACCAGTCTATTATTGACACTGGAGGAGTAAACTGCTCTTTAATGTCACACCCAACAATGAGCAGAGTTGCTGAGGGGGGCTCCAGGGGTTTTGGGGGAGTCAGTGCTGTTCCCTCTCCAAAGGTGATACCAAGACAGAATGCTCAGGGCTGTTCTTTTTCCCTTCACAGAGCAAACAGAGTTCTTCCTATTCCGATAGAGACACTACTGAAGAAGAATCTGAATCCCTGGATGACATGGATTTTCTCACAAGGCAAAAGAAATTGCAAGCTGAAGCCAAAATGGCCCTTGCCATGGCCAAACCAATGGCCAAAATGCAAGTAGAAGTGGAAAAACAGAACAGGAAGAAGTCTCCGGTCGCTGATCTAGTAAGTAGCAAATGCTGAAATGCCAACAAGCCTGTGAGCTGCACATGGCTGACACTTATCCAACCCTCTCCCAGGATTATGCAAACTGGGGTTTCTCCAGGCAGTTTGTTAAAAGTACTGCCATTGAGAAATATTTAACTTTGCTTCTCTTTCCTTCCTATGTATCATAGAAAGAGACATAAACAACAGATTTCACAAAAGAAAACTTTGCTTTTGATTCTTTTCTGTGTGTTTTTTAGCCATCGGAGCATGTTCTGATTCCTTCAAAGCAATCTCAGTTTAAGAACATATTAGTTGTGGCACTTACTTTTGCTTTGGTTTTCATGCCCAGCTAGCAGTGAGTGCAGTATGGCAGAGGACTTTGGAGTTTAAGTCTAACTCTGCATTGACCTCATTACTCAGCTTTCTATATTATGCCTGTCTAGATCAAGGGCACAAACGTAGCACCTGTGTCAGGTGAGATTTGTGAGAAGTCAGTGAACAAAGGATTCCAAGCACAAAGAACAGTCCCTGTAGCATGGCACAGCTTAATAGAGAGCTGACAATTACTAATTTTATCTGGGTCATGGGACTACCTGGGCTCCCCAGCTTTCTGCTCAAAAATAACAGCTGTCACAGCCTGGGTTAAAGACCAATCCAAAGCTTTTGAGTTGAGAGTGTAACATTTTGATGTCAATAGCATCTTTGACAATGTGGTGTGCGATAAGGTGAAGCAGGGAAAACCTCTCAGCACAGACCTGAATTGAGTGGGTGAATGAGGGCGGATCTCTTAGGAGAAAACAAGGTCTGATGTGTGAGTGTTTACTGCCCTATTGATATCTTTGTTTCTGCCCTCTGTCTTCAGCTGCCACACATGCCTCATATAAGTGAGTGCTTGATGAAAAGGAGTTTAAAGCCTGCCGACCTGAGAGACATGACCATCGGGCAGCTACAGGTGATAGTCAATGACCTCCATTCCCAGATAGAAAGTAAGTGTCAATGTGCTTGAAATGGGATGGTCAGTGTCACCATTGAGGAGGGATGTCTTCCCTCTTCAGTCCTGTGCCTTTGTGCATGGTTCTTCGGTCCCTACTGTATGCTCACAGGGAACGGAAGGGGACCTTTAAGAGTTTTCTGGGATTCATAAAGGTTGTGGATCCTCTTTATTCATTTTAAATCCCCAGCTCTCCTCACACAATACCTGACGTATATATGGCTCACATCATTGATCTCTATAGAATACAATCCAGTATGACAGATCATTCCTTACACCAGCCTGCCATCAACTCATGCATATATACAATTGTCTTGGGTGTTGTCATTATCAAATCAAGTTCAGTTTACTTTGTGGGGCTCCAGGCAGTGAAAGGATATTACTAATATGTGGAAATTACAGGGTGACAACCTGCAGATCTTTTCCCCCCAGCATAAAGGGGACCCCTAGCACAGCATGCTGAGGAGTAGTGAGTGGTGATCACTTGGGGTGACTGATTGAGCAAAGAATCAACAGTCGATGAGCCCATGGAAGAGAATGTGCCACTTAAGCCATGTGACTCTATAAAATACCGTGGTCTTCCAGACTAAAAATCACCTAGAACACCTGCTGAATAGATGCTTTCAAACAAACCAACAATAAAAAAACATGTAGGAGTCAAGGGGGATAATCTGAACACTGGCTGCATGTTTTATTAAGGTTAATTATTTAGTTATGGTAAAAGTATTGTGGTTATATTAAAAAGTACCTCTCTTTTAGAGATAGATACTGAAGTGTTTGTTGATAAAATAATAGAATGTCTGGGATTTACTTTAAAATAATTCCTTGGAGATGGGAAGATAGGTGAGTCAGGATTGCTGAAGTTGGCTATAAGCTTGGAATTGATTGGACATCTCTCTGCTTTGATAACAGTTTGCAAATTTCAGTGATAAAGAGTCAAAAGCTTCATCTGGAAAAAAAGAAGTCCTATACCCAAAGGGGTAACATATGTGGCATTCTGCTAAATGCTCACAGTAATAATAAAAGCTACCCCAAAAAGACAGTGGGAAAAATAGCTAAGTGTATTTGATGCCAAATTAACATATTTAGTATTGTTTTAAAATAAAAAAAGAACAAATTTAACATTTTAATTATGAAACTTTATATTCACAGACATTTTTCGTCTACCATTACATTTTAATTTTAACTCAATTGCTCTGCTTTAAAAGACTTAAAAGACTTTTTGATATTTCACCAATGAAACATCATCCTTGCGTTTATATAATAAAATCGCCTCTGGTCCCTTTCATGAGTAGATGGAATTTTAGACCTCTCTATAGGATTCTTTTTCTCTTTTACATTGGTAGCTAGTCTGAACTAAAGGCAGTTCAATACATTATTTGAAGAGCATTTCCCAAGGGGCTCCAATGGAACACCCCCTTCCCTTCTTTTGTTCTCGGCCCAGGACTCTTGCTAAATGAAGGCTCTCTCCCTGTGCCCAGACCTGGAAGCTCTAATCTTATCCTTTTGTAGGGACAAGCAAGAGGAAGTCTGTGCTTGTTGGTCATTTTCAAGGGCAGAAGCCAGATTGATCCAGAGCCCTGATTTCAGGAGGAGGATTAAGTGTTCCAGCCTGTATCTTATTCCTTTATAATCCTGAAGAACATTTTCCCCAAAACCCATTGTCCAGAGGTTTCAGGAGTTGTGTCCACAAGTTCACAAAATGACCTTCCAGTAATTTTAGATAACAGGTTTTCCTGGAACATCCTGCCACCCCTTTCTTAGAGCTCTGGTGTTTGGGGGGGGGGGGGTAAGGGGAGGGCCATCTGATGTCACGTTGTCAAGGGCCCCAACCTCAGTATGGAAGGAGTATCGTAAAGATGAGTGGTGAAACCTTACTGTGCTGCAGGTGTTTTTGTTCACCTCTCTTGAAGACCAAAATTCTGCTTTTTCTCACAAGTATTTGCCTAGCAGCCAACAATTACTTTTCCTACTTTAAGGTGAATGTAATTGGAAATACTGCATGCCTTACTCTTCTCTGTCCAGTAGTTCTGCAGTCATGTGAATTAGTCATGTCCTCAAATGGGTGATTTCTCCCAAGCTTATGAGAGGCTAATATAAGAATTCTAAATTTTAGCAAAATAGTTAATTTTGCAAAAAAAAAATTAGGTTTTGTTTTAGCTCTGTGTGTGTGTGTGTGTACCCACACACACACACACGTATATTCACTTGTAACCATTTATAATGGTCCATAAGTAGCTATGCATGCTCACTGGCGTTCATTCTACCTGACTTTAAGAGTTGTCCTTTCTTTGCCTCAGGCCTGAATGAGGAACTGGTGCAGCTGCTCCTCGTCCGGGACGAGCTGCACACAGAGCAGGATGCCATGCTGGTGGACATCGAGGACCTGACCAGGTCAGTGGACTCAGCTTCCCAAAGAAAGAAGGGACCGGTGTTCTCAGGTCTAGAGCTCGGGCAGGAGCTGGCTCTAGACAATGCCTTCCCTTCCCTCCAGAGTGACTCACCTAGTTTCTGCTGGTGTCAGCGCCCTGCACAGAAGGGAAGTGGCCAAACTGCTGTTTCCCAAATGTTCGCAGCCATCCTCCCTCATCAGGGATGTCAGTGCATAGGTCGTTCTGCAGGGGGCTGTCACCTGAGAGATTGGCCTCAGGAAGTTGGTTGTAAGCTCTTTGCTCCTTTCTGGTGTGTTTCCATGTGATCAGCCCCCTGGTGGGCCACAGAGTGGCTCTGCTGTTTGGGGACCCAACTCTTGGTCACCCTGATTATTCTCACCAGGGGAAGCTCTCGGGCCCATGTTCTAGCTGGGTCATCACTCATTAAGAAGAGAAGCTTGTTTCCTTTCCTGGGCATTGGAAACAGATCTTGTGGCTCTTATTACTTTTCCTTACAAAAAAGCTATCTCACACAAATGAAATATGGTGAACCCTATCACTTAATAGATGCTACTGTAGCATCTTTTCTCATATAGTTCATACAAAGTCTTTAAACCAGAAGGGAACACTTAGTATTAATCCTAGAAATGGCATTCAGAGAGTAGAAGGCTCCCTGAAGACAGAAAGAGACTGCTGTTGTAATAACCTAAAAAATTAACCGTGTGACCCAGATACATCCCAGAAGCTTGCAAAGGTAGTGCAAATCCTCTCAGCACCTCGTGCAAGGGCCTTCCCTCAGTGAGGTTTTTGTACCTTTCTGCGGGTAGTCATAGGAAACCAGGCAGGCAGAATCAGGATGTTAAAAGGAGAGGTGTCACTAATTCAGAAATGTTGGAGGAGCCCTTTAAGTTGGAGCTGGCCCACAGGGCACAAGGGTACAGCCTCCCTGCAAAGCTTCCCACATGGAGAGGAGAAGTTTCTGCGTGAATTCCTAGCTGGCAAATGTCACTTTGCTGATGGGAAAATCAGAAGGTACTTAAATGTATCTGAAGTAGCAGCCCCAAAGGTTTGCAGCCAAACTTGAAACATGAGATCAGGCTCCAAGGAATGCTGGGAAATTCTACTTATTCAACTCCCATTCTGTGCAAATCTGTGGTTTCCCATTTTGCCTGCATAGTAGGAACATCTGGAGAGCTTTACAAACTATTAACGCCAGGACCCATTCCAGAATGACTGATGCAGTTACCCAACAAGCTGACCTGGACATCAGGGCTTTTTAAAGCCCACCAGGTGATACCAGTGCACAGCAGGATTTTAAGAACCACTGGTTTAGATGTTGTCTCCTTAGAGAAGTACTCCCTGACATCCCGTCCTCAAGACTGAGGTATGCCCCCTCTTCTCTGTATTCCTGGCAACTTGACCTCTTCCAAAATGAACCTAATCACATTGCATTGTATTTGTCTGCTGCCTCCCCCAGCCTGATAAGTAACCACCCCACCCCCAAGAGCAGAGACAGTGCCATTTTCACTCACCACTGTGTCCCCAGACCTAAGACAAGGCCTGCCCCGCATGTGGTACATCCTCAACAATGATTATGGATGAAAAGGAGGCCTTGTGGGGCTGAGTGCAAATGCTGCATCATAGGAAATGCCAACTCTAATATTTTGAAGAACCTTCATGATGTTTTCCATTGCGATTAGACCAGTCTACACTCCCACCAACAGAATACGAAGATTCCTTTTTCTCTCTATCCTTGCCGACATTTTTTGTTTCTGGTTTGTTTGTCATGAGCCACTCTCACAGGTGTGAGGTGGGATCTCATTGTGGTTTTCATTTGTATTTCCTGATGATATGTGGTGATGTGAATGTTTCCACGTGCCTGTTGACCACATACATACATACATACATACATACATACATACATACATACATACATACATACATACATACATACATACATTTGTGTATGTGTACATACATACATACATATGTATGTATGTATAGATAGATAGATAGATATGGAGAAGTATCTGTTTAGCTCTTCTACCCATTTTTTTTTAATTGGGTTCTTTGTTTTCTTTTTGTTGGGTTGTATGTGTTCTTTGTAGATTCTCAATATAAGCCACTTGACAGATGTATGATTTATCATTGTGTGTTTAGATAAAGCAGCCACTGTGTTTTATCACAATGCCTAGCGCTTATTTTCCATCGTCAGTCTCTTTAGTTTCTACTCGTTCCCTTCCTGTCTGTTTCTGATGAGCTATGTGCAAAAAGACAAAGACTTCGTTATCTCTCACCCCCAAACCCCAGTGCCCAGAACAGTGCCTGGCATAAGTAAGGCACATGTTATAAATATTTGCAGGATAAATTTAAACATAACGCTCTTCTTCTTTTTAAAGGTATGTTGCCTACAAGTCAGAGGTCAACTCAGTAGTTTATTAATCAAAAGAGTTATACATAGCACGCAATCACTGAAAAAGGCAAATCCCATGTGAACAAGTGTTATTTCCAAGTGCTCTGAGTTCACTGTGAATAATTCTTGCAGCTCCATTTGGAGGATGTTTTAGCTGTTGATTGAAAAGCAGTTGGGAGCTTTTTAAGTACTGAATATTGTATTATTGATTTTGCAGACATGCTGAAAGCCAGCAGAAGCACATGGCAGAGAAAATGCCTGCAAAGTGAAGGGACACCACCCACCCAGAGGGCAAGCTGGAATTTATTTTGCTTCTGTGACTGTAAAAATGCTGTTGCTAAAGGTGGCGCAGAAACAAATATCAGTGTTAGTCATTGATGATGTCTGAAGCTTAACGTCCAGTGATTGGCCTTTGCTTCTTAATTTATTTTAATTTTTTACTGTGCCACTAAATATCAGGCATTTTAATAAAATATTGTTACAAAAAATGTACAGTACTTACACCATCACAAACCATGGTTAATCAGAGAAGGTAGTTTTAACTTTATTTTTGTTTGTTTAGGGATTCTAAGTTGGAGCAGTATTTTGCATTGACTACTTTCATTCTTCACTGTAGTTTTAAGGACTGTAAATGACGGTGCTACCCCAGTCAGAAATACATGCCTGCCTCGTAGTGAACTTGTAACTCCCGGTAACATGTATATTTGAATCAGTTTTCAACATTTTGTGAATGTTGACTACCTGAAGTTCATTTTTAGATGTGCTATTAACATTCTGTTGGATTCAGAAGGTTCCTTGAAAGTTTTATGTATAAATATGTAAAATAAAAATTAAAACTTTGTTTCATATGATATGTTCTTTTGCTCAATAGTAAGTCCTAATCTGGCAATATTTCTATCCCCCTCACACGTCTGCAACTAAATTGACCACCAAGAAGCTTTCATCACAAATTGCTGCAGACAACAGGCGATGCATTAAATTGCCAGGAAGAGTGTGCAGATGTGTGATGAATGAGGGTGTGCGTGTGTGCGTGTGTGTGTGTGTGTTTGTGTAAAGTGACTGTGGTGAGAGGATGGATGAGAGAGAGCTCCAAAGAAAGCGACATCAGAGCTTGCATTTATGTTATTGTTACAGTTATGAACCTGGGGAATTTTCACACTTTCCTGTGTTACAGCTGCTAGTCTTGCTAGAGACTGTTCCCCCATCAAAGCTCTATTGACCACTTTGCCACATGGAAATATGATGCTTCCTTTCCTCTTCCCAGAGCAGTTGCCTTTTTATATATATATATATATTTATTTATTTTTGCATACTGAACTGGGGTACAGGCCAACGGTGCTGGGGGTGAAAGGATCCACTAGAGACAGAATGGGGAGCAGATTGATGAGGTAAACTGCTGATGGGAGCAGCAGGCGGATTAGGGGAGGTCTGCCGTGCCATGTGGGTCACCTCTGGGGCTGGGGACTCAAACTCATGCTGCAGTAGCTGCAATAACTTCATAGTGCTATGCTCTAACCCATTGCCCCACCAGGGAGGGACCCAGTTTTTTAATTTTAACCACTTGTTTTGTCTCATGAATAAAAATATTATGTCGAAGTCATTCTCAGATTCCTCCCCAATAAGTAGAATGTCAGAAAATCAATTCAGTTAATAAATGTCCATTCTGGAAGTAGAAAACCATGAACTAAAGTCAAGATGAACAATAAACATTCCAGAACTACCTACAAGCTACTACCTGGTTTCACTGCAAGGATGCAATATGAAGTAGAAGTTTAGCAGCTATCTATGTTTTCCTCTTCAAAAATACCCAGGTAGGTACCTTAAATATTTTTTTTAAAAAGTTGTCAATTATCATAAATAGTCTACTTAGCAAAAAAGTAATCTTATGTTTAGCGTTAATTGTTATATGGACCTCAGTAAGGCTATTTTCATTTAGAATTTAAAAAAAAAAAAGTCATTCAATAGATTTGCTTTTTGTGAGCTTGCTACAGAGCACTGAGGTAAAGGGTGTACCCAAAGCCTCTATACATAAAAGCCTCTTAGGAGCCCAAGTCCTACATCAGCCCAGTGATCTCAGCCACACCGTGGACTCACTGGGGAACCTTGAGTCCCATCCCACTGATATTGTTCCTGAGGGTGACCTGGCTATTGGGACTCTTTAAAGGTCACTTGGTGATACTGGTATTGAGAACCACTGCCTTTGACTTTACTCTTTTTGGCTTTTTCAAGTGTCTAGGTTATTTTTCATAATTAAAATATATTCTTATTAATTTGAAACTGTTGGGGAAAGCCAAGCTAGCTTCCTACAGTGACATCCACAACCTGGAGTCTCAACCCTAAAAACTCACCAAAAAAGACTAATTTTTATAAATCCTCATGAGAATTTCCAATTCCAATAACAATTTAGATAGGAGTTTGCTCTGCGTCTTAAGCAATGCAATCTTTCTGGCTAGAAATACAGGTTCAGAGGAAAGTCATGACCTCTAAATCTTGAAGTTGTTTGAAGCCAATGATCTTAAGGAATGTGCCCCTAACTCAAGAAGGAAGAAAGTAGGGCTACACCCAGATAGGCCTCCCAAACACCTTTGAGGTCATATTCAGCTAAAAAGGAGAGCAGCTCTTCCCATCACCAGGACCCTCAAAGGACAGTGAGTCATGACCTGTGTCCTCTTTACACTGTCCTTAAGAGGGATGTCGCCAAACAACCAGGGGATTCTTTCGGGATTGAGTGGTTCCAGTCCAGTGCATAGGTTTTTCAGAACATCCAGTGATTGGTCTCAGCAGGGTTTTGTTTTGTTTTGTTTTAACATTTATTTATTCATACATACAGAACCGGGCTACAGCCAGAGGTGAAGGGCGTGAGAGGATTCACCAGAGACAGAGTGGGGAGCAGAACAGGCAGATGTACTAAAAAACACTGTTGAGGGGAGCAGCAGGTGGGTCAGGAGAGGTCTGCTGTGCCGTGTGGGTCAGCTCCCTGGCCGGGGATGGAACATGTGCTGCACTGGCTGCAATAACTTCATATTCTGTGCTTTAACCCATTGTGCCACCAGAGAGGGTCCCCAACAGGCTTCTTACCTCCACTAGGCTACCTCTCCACACAGACCTAGGGTCCTTCCTCATTAGCCTGGCTTATTTAGAACAATGACCAAGGAGAACAGGATCGGCTCTCATCTCGATTTTAAGACAGTACAGTATAGGGGAGCTCACAGGGCACCAGGCTAGACGGGACCCGCATGGCATCCACCGCCTGGTGGTTCTTCCTTGAACAAGTTTCTAGAGCTCTTGGTGTCTTATTTCATCACCAGAAATAAGGTTATTGGAAGGAGAAGTGGATGATCAAGGTTGGTGGTGGAGTCACTCTATTTTACTAGTTTCTGAGACAGCCCATCCTTGTGGCTTTTTTTCTTGGTTATTATTCATTAATGAAGCATATGCTTCAGGAGGTTTGTATTCATTGTGTTTGTGCAAAGGTAAGGCCATGTAAGACATGGCGCCTTCAATGTGATTTACCCATGGTCAGCAACTCAAAGATCCATGGCATGTGCTTCCATCACAGGAGGTAGTGGTGTACTCCAGTCAACCATTCCCTTTAATGATGGACATTTAGCATCTTTCCAGACTTCTTTCACTAAAAGCAGCATTGCATATGCTTTGAGTGGCATACTTGTACTTACATCAACTTGTGCTTTTATTCTATGACTGACTCATTTTTGTCCCTTTCATCGTTGCTGGGTGTTATGGTTACATCAGAGAACAAAGAGCTAATTAAGGTAGGACCAGCAAGGCCATCTTAGAGTAGTTCAATTCCTTGCAACAAAATGGAACCTGCCCCTCTTGTATGACAAGTACAAATTCATACCTCAGCCACCTTTGTAACAGCCCCAGCAGGGAGCCCACAGAGTCCTCTCCTGAAGAGAAACTCTCAGATCCCTATGGCCTGCCTCTGTGACATTTGCATTAATAGGGGTGCTCTGCTTTGCTTGATTATTACCACGTAGCTAAATTCTGGTGGCTCTGAATGTAATTTCCTCCAGCACTGCATCGATTTATTTGCTCCTCTCTGCTGAGGGAGCCCCTTGCCTGGTTCTCACAAGGGGTGAATCTTACTGCTCTCCAGTAAATCCTCCATGACAGTGCCACTTCCCAAGTCCTTACCTTCCCAAATTTCCGGTCTCTGCTCTGAAGACATTCTTTCTGCAGAACGCTCTCTGCTGACCCTGCTGAGCAGCCCCGTGGCAGGCAGTACTGGCCATCTCTTCAGGCCCATGCCCTCCTCACACACAGAGCTGTCCCTGGGAAGCAGCTCAACAGGGACTCCACTTGCTCTTGACTGATTTTACCAGTGGGAGGTGAGTGGGTTGGAAGTGTCCTCATCCAGCCAAGGGTTTGAAGGAGCTTACTTTCTCTTCTTCTTTGTACCAGCTCCATTTTTCAGAACAACATGATAGCAGATCCAGAAGACAAAAGGAGTCTGGGCCCCTGCATCACTGTACAAACAGAACCTGCCTCTTGTAGGAGCTGCCTCAAATGGCTACAAGAGTGAGGAAGGAACTAGGATTGTGCTTGAGCCACTATAATGCCTCGAATCTCCTGTTACAACAGCAAGCCCTTAACCAAGACAACCATATCCTTTCAGAAAGCACTAAACAAACCCAGGTCTCTACAGAGAAGTATGTGTTCTTGGTCACTGTGCTGATGACTTATGCAGGGCTTGCCTTTCCTCTAAAAATCTTCTCAGTTTATCAGTCTCTTGAGTCCAGTTTAAATCCTGCCCCTCATTTTTATGTTTTCCTTTAGTCATTGGAGTAGAAATGAGAAGTGAGTCAAATGAGATTTGTCATGAACAGGCAATTAATTCATGCCTGTTCATGAATATGGATTTTGTTATGATGCCAAAAACACAAATATTTGTCAAGTGACAACAGGAGATTTATCTGGTGTCCATCTGGAAGACTCTTGGGTTTCCTCAGTCCTCAAGGCCACACTTGATTATTACCACCTAGCTTAATCCTGGTGGCTGAGAATGTAATTACCTCCAGCACTGCATCGATTTATTTGCTCTAAACAAGACATGACATATTCATTATGAGCTGGGTTGATGGGTAATGAGTTTTTCAGGATATTTTAATTGAGGTTTACAGTCAGTTGTCAGTATAAATTAATATTATATTAAATAACTTATGAATTGCTTGTCTATGTAAAATGAAAGTGTTATCCTAATTTCTAAGTGAGACTCCAAAATCTTTCATTGGGCAGCTTGGATAGAAAGCAATTCACAAGACTAATTGGCTGTAAGAAATTCTTTCCCATAGCATATTTCCCGGCCTATGTCAGTTCTAGAATAAGGCTCTGCCTATGGTTGTAACACGACTCTTAAAAAAAAAAAAATCCACTTTCCTGCATAGAAGAGCACAGGGTTGAAAAGTGATACTATGGGGAAAGATTTTATTTTCATCCTCCAGATGAGACACTCAAACTTTATTTACTACCAGTCTCTTTTCGTTTGTATTCAATCAATACCCGGTTTGCTTTTTGGTTTTTCAGGACATAATGAGATGTGTCCTGATTCTGGTAACGTATAGGCAGGGCTGGATATGAGTTCTTTAATTTTCTGCCTCATAAAGTTACTTCCTTTCAAATGTCTGTTCTTTCTTCATGGAAATTACATTCTGTAATGACATGTCATCTCACCTTGTGAGGGACTTTTTTGGTATCAGGCTATCCCTGGGTGTGAAAAATGGAATTTGAAAAGCAGCAGGATCCCAAACCCCATATTAGGAGCATTTTGATGAGAGTTCAGAGGTGCTGACTCTTAAGGACAACGAGGAGAAAGGATGTTACTAAGGTATC